TTTTTTTTTTTTTTTTTTTTTTTTTTTTTTTTTTTTTTTTTTTTTTCCCCAGCGTTAAACCAGTTTTACTCTATTTTCTTGGCTGGTTTAGCATTCTGTTTGGCTAGCTCTATCTTGCTTGGAAATGCTGAGTTCAAGATATAGTAACAGCTCAGCTGTGTTAACCAACCCTAGACTTTTAATAGCACAACTCAGAGAAACGTGTCCTTCAGCAGTAGAATCAAATAAGGAGAAAACAAATGTTAGTTCCTACAACAGTCATAAAATACATTCAACACAATCAAAAAAATCTAGAGTGTGTGTCCTTTTTTTTTTTTTTTAGTGGCTTCATAGCATCTTAAAAGATCTATATTCTGTGATTCAAGAAGCCACTATAAAGTCTTTCAGTGGTCATTTGGGTTTTCGACTTACCAGAATTTATATTTGTAAAGTTATGGTTTGTACTTGCTTATTGCCCTTTCTAACAAAAAAAAGTATCTTTTGTCTGTTCCAGGGCTGTGCCTTTTACTGGGGATTCACTTCCTGGATTGCATACTACATCAACCATCCATGGTATACACCACCATGTATGTATAAGTAGAGCACAAAACAGACCTAGGTTTTAAAAAGTTTTTGGTATGCAACCTTCAATCCTCCAAAATCAATAGATGGCCCCCACGTGAGGTCATATGACTAATCTAGTCAGAGATTAAACTTTACTCCCCGTCAGAAGGAAGACTTGTGCAGGAGGCACTCCTGCTGTGTCACTGAATGTTCGTTCCTATTCAGCAATGGTCAATTGCTGTCCAGTTTTATGAACTGGAAATATTGGCCAAGTAGAGAAAACACAAAGATCTATATATTTTTCTCACCTTCACAATATTTGTCTTAAAAAGGCAGGAGAGACCTAGAGCTGGCTGCATTTTCTTGGAGGAGATATTTATTTGTAAAGATACATCCTTTTCATGAAAGTTAAGATTATATTTTTTTTGTGGGAAGCCAGTAGAAGTCATAGTGATAATAGTGAAGAAAATGCTATGGTTTTTTGCTTCCAGATTTCATTCATCATTTTGTTTCCTCTCATTATATTTTATTGTTGCACTGATGTTTCATCATGATTTTTTTCTTCTTGTTTACTCTGAACTTTTGCTTCGTTTGAGCATAATTGGCATAAGTTTTGTTTCCTGCTATTTTACTTTCCTTCCTATACCTTAGTCTTTCTTTTCCTCTGCATCTTATCTATGAGCTTGGGGAACAAATGTTTGCTTTGCCATTTTTATTTACAGTCAGTTAAATTACTAATTTTTTTCAATCAAATATTTATCCTACAGGGCACTTGCTTACCTTTCAAAATAACACAAAAGTTCTGTTTCAAAATGGTGTGGATCATTGGAAGACAGTTAAATTTGGTGTGGCTTTAACAGTAATGCTGCAAACAATATTGACAACTCCCTAGACACAGTTTTCAGCAGTCTGGGCCATCAAATCAGTAGGTGCAGCTTCTTTACAGAGGAAACTATTTGTTCAAGACACAGCTTTTCAACAGAGGAAGCATTCAGAAGTACTTCTGGTTACTTGCCACTGCCTTAAAATGACAGCTTTAGGTACATGGGTCTAATGCTGGAGATCACCAACCCTGTAGCATAGTTAGCTGGATCAGTAAAACACTGATGGTATATTTTGGATGCAGGAACAGGTGACCATATCCAGAGATGGCTGGTTTGAAGACAGTTAAGGAAAGGCAAGCAGGTATGGTACACAGGAGTGGTAAATTAAACCAGGCTGATAAAAGGCCCATGAAGAACATCTGCTTAGCAGCTACACACTCACATGTTGACATGTGTGACTGTTCTGAGGAGGAGTTTTAGCACATGCACTTGGCACCACAGAGGAGTTGTGTGCCAGCCAGAGAGAAAGGGTTCTCAAAAGTAAAGGCTTGATGAGACTTGGTGAGGGAAGTGAGGTACGTACATGTGGTTTGTGTCCCTCACTCATGACCAACTGAGAACTGTAAACCTTTGGAGATGAACATGATACAGAACTCCAGTGGTCTGTGGACAACAGGAAAAAGGAGAGAGCAGGCAAAGGGCAGGTAAAAATTACAAAGGCTAAATATACTTCTTGCATGGTGAGACTGTGAAGCAGATAGTAGCTATATAGTAAAGCCTCACTACTGAAAAAAAAAAAAAAGAAAAAAAGTGATGGATAGGTTATGTCTTGGATTCTCTGCTCATGGAGATAGAAGGGCCTATGGATAAGGCTGTCATTCCCACCCAGAGTGGTTCTGCCACTGACCTTCACTTCATCCCTCCCTTTGCCTTTCCAGGGAATTTAACACCACCAGTTACTTTGACAAGCACTTGGATATATGAAGCTGGCAGACACTAGAAAAAGCTAAGTGAAAACTGCCTTGAGATCAGTGGTGAAGAGACTGGCATTTCTAGAGCGGTTACTATTTACATTGTCTTCATATTGTGCGTGACAATACCTGTTCTTTCTGCAGAACCTCTCAGGAAATAAGTATTTCTGCTCCTCAGCACTAGATTAATTTCACCCATAGCAAATCATGTGCATACTGTAAAATGCAATTTATAATTTCATTCTATTTTCTAGCATTTGGCCACAGACAAGTTTCTTTTGCTGCCCTTGCTTTTCTGGTACGTACAAAAATAAAGTTTTATTAATGATTGTAGAATAGGAGTAACTCACGATTTAGCCCAACACAGTAATGCTCCTATACATTTGTGGATATATATGTATATATACATCCACTCCCACAGCCCTGTGTCCTTTGACTGGATTTAGTGATAAGCTATTAAGGTTTCTAGGCCAGGAATTCTCCTAGTACTATTTATCCATGCAGAGCTTAATATGAAATACTGTTTCTGAGAGCCATGAGAACATCCTCAGCATTATTACTACTCATAATTGTGTAAAACAACTAACATTTAGACAGACGTAACTTGCCATTTTTAAAACACCGAAGAATTACATCCTAAGCAGACTTTGTGATAGTACTGTGTACTCTGAATAACTTAACCTCAATAGCTATTAAAAACAATAAAAACAATCCCTGCTAAAGTGGGTTAAGCCAGGGGAAAGCGCAGGTGGTGAAGGGCGGCTGAGACTACTGAACCTGATGTTTGAATGAACATAACCATATAGTGAGACAAAGACTCAGGAAAAAAATTCTCACACAGAAATGTATATTCCATCTTCTGTGGGCACTGAGTGTTACCCAAGCAAGCATGGGTCAGTAGCCATAACAGTCAACCTCTTTGAAAATCAGATACAGATCAGTTTCCAGAAATGCAACAGGAAGATGGGACAGTAACGTGACTAGGCTTCTTCAGGCAAACACTATTCAGAAAAGGCAAACACCATTCAAACTACGCCTTAGCAATATTTAAATGCTGTTGTAAAATAGGGTCCTTAAAGATCATGGGTTTGGCAGCGTTCATCTCTGGGGTTGGCCATGCTGTTCTCAGCTTTTCCTGCTCTAATTAAGGCATAGCAAAGGCAAGCAAAATACTTGTATGAAGAAGTTCACACACTCAATGAGGCTCTGCAGCTGAAAGCAATAATCCTGTACTGCAGAGATAGGAGGCTGTGGCAGCAGTAGGCAGTGGTGCACCCAGAGCCTTACTGTCTGCGCCCTTCCCAAGCTCAGGGGTTACTTGAAACCAAGCAAACTGCTTGCCTGAATATTCAGGACTACCAGTAAAACTACTCCTCGTCAAAATATCTGCATAGAAAAAGCCTCCTTTTCTAATGAAACATCCTTGCTTGCCTCAGTGTAACATGCCCTGATATAATATATGCAGAGATGCGTCCTGTTGGGGGTATTTCCTATAAAATATGGCCATCTCCTTCAGATCTGCATCAGCACCTGATCTGTGGTCTGAATTCTTGCAGCTCTTTTAAGAACTTCCTATCCATGGAAACTCAAAACATTTCCCTTTCAGACCTTGCTCTAGGCAGATCCCCAGACAATGAATTTAAAATAGCAACATATAAAATAAAATCGTTTGAAGCTGTTTTCACAGGTTTCTAAAACATATGAATAAAATATTTGGAAGATTTCCTTTTTCCCCCCTCTTTTAAGGCTTGTCTTTATTACATAGCCTGATTTAAGTGTATAGATCTGCAGCTGCTGTAAACAACAGTACTGAGTAATTTGAAGAGTGTCGGTAGGCGCTTCTGAAGGATTCTCATATTTAGAGAAATTGCTCTAAGCTTTGCAGAGACATTTTTCTGATAGGGTACACATAGAATATAAACAGGGGGAACAGTATGTAGACTTCAATATCTTATCATCATAAATATGGTAAGCCTTTTTTCTGCTGTTCCCCACTACCCCATATTTTATATCTAATCTACCCCATATTTTATATCTAAGACACTGACTAAGGACTAGCTTACATTTATCAGTACGTCTCAAAAGAGCATTAGGAGCAACATTTCTAAAGTTGGACATAAGAACTAATTACAGCGGAATGCAACTGCAGAGTCAAAGGTAAGCCAATAAAAATTTCAATGAGTGGATTGAGAGCAGCCCTGCGGAGAAGGACTTGGGGGTATTAGTGGATGGAAAACTGACTATGAGCCAGCAATGTGTGCTCACAGCCCATAAAGCCAACGGTATCCTGGCCTGAGTCAAGAGAAGTGTGGTCAGCATGTCAAGGGAGGGGATTCTCCCCCTCTGCTCTGCTCTTGTGAGACCCGACCTGGCATACTGTGTCCAACTCTGAGGCCCCAAACATAAGAAGGACATGGACCTGCTCAAGCGTGTCCTTTGTGAGAAGGACCACAAAGATGATCAGGGGGCTGGAGCACCTCCCCTGTGAGGACAGGCTGAGAGAGTTGGGGTTGTTTAGCCTGGAGAAGAGAAGGCTCCAGGGAGACCTTACAGTGGCCTTCCAGTGCTGCAAGGGGGCTACAGGAAAGCTGGGGAGGGACTCTGCCTCAGGGAATGTAGGGATAGGATGAGGGGTAACAGTTTTAAACTGAAGGAGTGTAGATTTAGATTAGATATAAGGAAGAAATTCTTTCCTGTGAGGGTGGTGAGGCACTGGCACAGGCTGCCCAGAGAAGCTGTGGCTGCCCCCTCCCTGGCAGTGTTCCAGGCCAGGTTGGACGGGGCTTTGAGCAACCTGGGCTAGTGGAAGGTGTCCCTGCCCATGGCAGGGGGGTTGGGACGAGATGGTCTTTAAGGTCCCTTCCAACCCAAACCATTCTATGATTCTGTGAAAAATCCCTACAGAAATGCCCTTTGCTTCTTTTACTTGGAATTGATTAGAGAATTATTAGGTGTTAGCTATAGTGTGTGAACTTCTCTTGCTCCACAATAGTATGGGCATTGCACATTTCAGTATGTATAGTGTTTCACAAAACCACTTTCAACTTTAAAACTTTTTTCTTTAAAATAATAGTAATCAGAAAAAATCATGTTCCTAGCTCATAATTGGAAGTACGTAAATTAAAATTACTTCTATTGCTATGGCTAGAATTATAGCTTCTGATATGGTATTCTATAATAGAATTTCCTTTTCTGGCTATTTAGTGTTATACATCTGTTGTTTATGATAAATGACAGCCAGTTAGTTGTAATTAAAAAACATAAAAGGACTGCAGGATTTGACCCATGACTACATGCAGAATAACAGCTTTTCTAATAGAACTGATTTAATCTTTCCTAACAAAACCCACAGAATTCTCTCTGCCAAAAAGGGGAAAATTCTTCAGCAATGCTATCTACAATGTTCTTTCAGATAATTGCACATTTCAGTATAAAATGAAGTTACATATTCCTTTCAATTATTTTTAACTGAAGTTTATTTTGGATGACTTTCACAATTGGCTTAAAAAAATTACAATCGTACTTATTTTTTTTTCTCTATTAATTTTGTGACTTTAGACTTTCAATGTCTCTAGGTTCTAGCACTCTTTAATTTCTTAATTTTTTCCAGCCTTGCAATATTTAGAATGACAAATTATATAAGAACTTTTTTTAACACTACATTTTTTCAATTTGAGAGGAGAAATCAGTCTTCAAATCAGGAAATGAATAAAAAATCCAATGCAGTCCAAGATTGAAATGTATACAACATTTTGGTTTTTCTCTTAAGGGGAAAAGATGAAAATCATAAAATTAGATTGTTGTACTGACAGGCTTTCTTTTTCAGGAATTGAAAGTGGTTTTCCTACCAGTTCCCACTTTAAATATGGGTAGTAATTGATTTTGATTCTACAGTAGTTGTTACTGATGAAGTACTGAAAGCCACCAGCTGTATAACCAAGTTAACATGGTACCTCTTCCAAAGATTTAGAAAACATCTAAATATTAAAGGCCAAGTATGAGAGGTTGTTTAGGGCTGGAAGTGACATAACCAGAGAGTAGCAGAACAAGGAATAGTACTGGCTTCCTTCATTTATCAATTCCAGACTACTATCCATTCGAGCATTCCGCACTTGAGAGAACCGCTGCCTTTTTATTCACCTTATTTTTTCTTCCTCTATGACTTACCTAGAGAACTGGTTACTGTGCTCTGTAACTGGCATAACAAAGGTGTTGTGCTGAACACCTTTCAACATGTGTGTAGGAAGAGGGTAGGCGCATTAACTCATGACATCCTTACAAAACCAGTGGTCAAGTTTTCACCTGCTTCTTTGCAGCCTTGCAAATCCAAATCCTGACAAAGACGTTCAGTTCAGAAAAGTATCTTGCTAAATTCCTTAGATCCCAGGGACCCTCTCTGATCTCCCCAGACCAAAGCATGTTGCATATGCTGGGCATGAGAACTGCACAGAATGCTTGCCGGCACTGAGTGATACAGAGCTGAAACATTGGCTTTCACCTCAAACTGTGCCCATGGTGCTCGCTAGACACTTGAGTGTTTAACAAAGATCACAAAATGTATTTCCCATGCGACAGTCATTTCAGAGTACATATTTTCTGGATACAGAGACTAAGTTGTAATGGGGGGGGTTCTGGTTATGCACTGCAACGCAGCTACTGCAGCATTTTAGGCATACAACTGAAAATATGTTTTTAATGCCTTGCAGATGTGTGAAGCTGGAAATCACTTTATCAACGTAGCTTTAGCTCACCAAAATCATTCAGGTGTGTCTTTGTTTCCTGTTTGTCTATTTAAGACTGAAATGTGCTTAACCTATCCATCTTCTGCCGTTATACAGTAATTTATGTATCTACATCCACAGGATAAAGAAAGATTAAGTAGGTATCACGCCATTGGTATAACATCTTCAAAATAAATGTGGTGACAAGGAAACATTAGCAACACCATTGTTGTTCCAAAGCTTATAGCAAATTTATCTTAATTAGACACAACTGCAGTTTAAATATGAATTTAAACATGAAAGTTCTCTAAAGCATCCTGTTGACTGACAACAGAGGATTCCATTTTAATAAAGTTTCAAAAACTTTCATACTAGATTGCAAAGTTTTTAGATACGTGCATCTCATGCAAAGGTACACACACATATATACAAGTATACAAAGATAGACTCATGAATACCTACACAGGCATCAGTCTATATGTATGCTCTTCAAAGGCTGCTCCAGGCAGAGGTTTTCAGGATCTTTTGTACTGTGAGAATAAAAGTTGTACTATATATATATATATATATATACTAGAAAGTAAAATATATTTTCAGATAATAATAGTATAATTTCCCACTGTAACACCCTATTCAAGAAAATACTTCACCACAGTATGATCAACTTCACACACTGAATTCAGTGTCTATTCTAGAAAGCTTTCAATGTGCTGTGGTTAGGCAGGTCTTTATGCTGTTTGTTTCAAGGGACTTAATTCAGTTTAAAAGCAGCAAGAGCCAAATAATTCATCTACATTCTCAGTGCTTACAACTATTAAAGACGGCATTGTTGCCAGAACTTAAAAATGAAGTGTTGCATATGTAGCATTTTGTGTGAACATGATCAGTGGCTGTAAATCAGTGTCCTGTTAGCTCTGGAGTTGTTTTCCCATTCTAATTTGGGATGGAGGATGAGGATGCCAGAGGAGACAGGTTCACATTCTTGAGTCAGGGTAAATAAGATACAGCTGAATCCTTTATATCCCAGAAGAGTGCCCTTAGCCCTTGCCTGCTGGCTACTCTGCATTAAACTACATGTCTCTCTCTTCCTCTGAACAAAGGTTGCACCCTTTGGACATGACAGACCTTCCTGTAAAAACTGATACATGGCTCGCTAAGCAGCATTCTCACTAGGATAAATACAGTTTTTAGTGTCTCAAAAGATTTCACTGAAACTTTTCTAACAAGTTGTACTCTGGGAGCATTGTCTGAGGGGATGGCTGTTACATAGGCAAGTTGTGATAAGGCTCAGTTCCCATCCCTGTATTGAAACTAGTTTTGTCTGGTGTTTTGTTTGTTTTTTTAGGGAGTAAAGCCTGTTTTCCAAGTCCAACCTACAACCCCTTCACGTGGCTGTTCTTGCTGGTATCCTGTCCCAACTATACATATGAGGTACATGACTTTTTTCTGCTTATATGCAAGGAGTAGGTGGTTACTGTGTTTCGGCCTTTAACTGCAGAAAATCTGCAACTCCTTCATGCAATTCCCTCTGTACATCTATTATTATGTTCTGTATGTCAGAGTCTACTTGCTCCCACAAATGTTTCTCTTCCCTCACATCAATATCATAACTCGTGTATATTCCTCTCGAGTACAGACTCCCCACAGACCCAAGGATTTACCACCCATCTCTTTGCCCCACCCAGCACACTGGAGGGTTCCTTTCTAGATATTCTTCCTCTCCTGTCTTCTTCCAGGGGAGCTTTTGAAAACTTGCCCTTTTGCTTTACAATTAACAGCGCCTTTTTCTTTGCAACAGGTTGGGTCTTGGATTAGCTTCACAGTGATGACACAAACCCTGCCAGGTAAGTTTGAAACAGAATGAAGATAGCTTCTAAACTGTTGTTTGCAGAAGTGAATTTTGGAAATCTAAAATTCGTAAAAAAAATTATGGTGTGTAAAATATTGCCATCAAAACTCCCTTGTGACATGGCTGTATAAACCTTCAAAGTGTTACCCTCAGAAAGCCGTGGAGAGCATGAACACTACTGCAGCACCTTCTTTTGATCAGAACCAGCTCTCTGCTTTTTGTGAGATATGTTTCCTCTGTTTCCACAGTGAAAACAGACTTTGAAATTTAGAAAAAAAAAAAAAAAGAAGTCAGTATTCTTCATTTATAGTCAATCATTTTGATATAGGAAAATTTCTTTGCATTGTAAACCTGGAATAATGCTTCTAACAGGGAGAGGAAAACAGATGTACTTAGTATTTCAAAAGAGAAAAGACACACATGTTCCTGGTAGCATTTGCACATTTGCTTATATCAGGCAGCCAGCTCGTAACGGCAGCCTACTTAGTAACATTTGCAACTCTTTCTCAGTACGTTCCTGCATCCTTAGAGACCTAAATACCCGTATAAATACGGTCCCTGGGACTGATCTTTCCAAAACATTCACTTTTTAAATTATTTTTCCATTCCAAAATAGAAACCTATAAAAGCTACTTGCAAAAAGTAGCCCCACATGATTTACAAATGAAAGAGAAAAAGAATTTCAAAAATGGATTAAAACCCATCATGCAAAAATTAAACTTTTAATTTTGTTTGAAAAGATACAACTTTTTTTGTGGTTTAGGCTCCGGTATGGAAATGACCTGAAAGTTTGGGGACATTGCAGGGCTGCACTTGTGAGGGTAGGGAGCAGCGATATATGCAGCACACTCATCCTTGCCGTGATTGTCCCAAATATAACTTGACCAGATTCCAGATGAATGTTTCTGACCCACCAGCTCATTTTAAGGAAGAACGGGTAATGAACTTGCAAAAAGCACCTGTAAAAGTATTCCCCATTCGGTGCCACTCAGTCTGAAGAGAGAGGTCTCTGAGAGACCACTCACTGGCTCCTGACAACTAAAGCAGATACCTGGTCATCTATAGTTGTTAGACTTTGTGAGATCTTGCTGCCAGGCAGCTAAATCTATCCATGCACCTACTGCCTACATGGTCTGTGGCTGAGCTCTCCCGTCATTCAACAGGAAGTTACAGCACAGCTCCCTGTTATGGTTGGGAGCCAGAGGTAAAACCAAAGAAGTGTTATAGGCCAAAATCAAACCAAAAAATAGTTGAGAGAGACCATGGGTAATTCTGTGTTGAGATGGCACCATGTCCAAGGAGGCCTTGTGATTTATGGTGAAGTCATAGGTGATACAGGTTGTGTCTAATTGATGTGAACATCATCTGTGTGAATTCTGGTGTGGAGGCTGAGCTTCAGGCTATGGTACATCAGCAACTACAAGGCTGAGAGCAAGGACAGAGTTAACTTGTCTCTGCCCACAGAAGAGACTGCAGACTTTTCCACAAACCCTCTTGTATTCACAGAAACAGACACTGAAAAAATACACGATCCTCTTAGTTTTCCTCTTTTTCCTTGGTAGCTGGAATTTTTGCTTTCCTGATGGTCATCCAGATGTCTCTCTGGGCCCAAAAGAAACACAAGCTGTACCTGAAGAGATTTTATCCAGAGGTGCGGAGAAAGGCAGCTATGATTCCTATCATCTTCTAAGCTCTTCACAAGAGTTGGAGCCTAAGTGTACAGCACAAGAGCTAACTCTGAGTAAATGAGCCATTTCATTCAGTAACCAAAGTGGATCAGAAGAATAACTACTGGATATCTTTTTCAGAAAATTAACAGTTCAAGATGACGAGCTTTTAATTAAGTGAAAAAATGTAGCTCTTGAATTCTTGGTTCCTGCTAAAAGATATGATTTAATTAGATTTTCTGTAATGGAGCTAATTGGGAAGGGACAAGAAAATTGCTTATATTGAATACTAGGCTAGATATTTAGCTGGTGTAAATGGGCACAGATGCTGTTAAAATTAATGAATACAGCTCATATGCATGCATTCAGGTCTGGTGATTTTAAGGTTCAGTGTTAGATATTGACGAGTCTTGGATTTTTGCACTGGAAGATGTTTCACAGGCTTTTATTAAACTGCACAGAAGGAGCACGTTCTGCCTCAGCTCCTCTAAAGCATCACATCAAAGAATGACCGCTATGCTGTTCTTTCTTTCTTTCTTTCTTTCTTTCTTTCTTTCTTTCTTTCTTTCTTTCTTTCTTTCTTTCTTTCTTTCTTTCTTTCTTTCTTTCTTTCTTTCTTTCTTTCTTTCTTCTTTTCTCATACCAAATTGTTGAATACAAATTGGCTTAAACAGATCACTGCATAGAGGTCTGGTTTTCTTTTATTTTCAGGTAGGCAAATCAGCCCCAGAATCCCAGGAGGGAACTGTTTGTGAGGTACTTCCCATCTTGCTACTAATTTGCAACATGACCTTGGGTACATCATTTAAGTCTGTCCCCTTTCTCACACTGAACAGTTCTGGGAATAGCAGAAGACTTTCTGGACTAACAATCATGTTATGATCCCCTTGATCAGTGACCGACTGCATCCAGACACCACTCAGTTTACTTGTATCATGCACTGTCAAATCCTTGGGCACAAGGTGAAACAGAGTACATCTTGTTATCGAAAAGGAAAGGGATCCCGCCAGATGCATTTCAGTTCATATTTGAACTGCCTCAGACATTTCTGAAAGGCTTCAGCTCCCCTTCAATTTGGTCAGTCTCTACATGCTATTTTGTTTTCCAGGGCATTATTTTTTAAAGGATTCTCTGGGCTTGTTATTCAAGTCCTGAAAACTCTAGTTCCATTAGCACATTAGTGGCATTCATGTCGTACAGAAGTGCAATTTTAGTTACAGAGAACAAAAGAGTCAGAACTGCTTCAACAAGTATTAAGATATGGAGAGTTAGGGGACTAAGTCCAGTTTTCATCCTATTTCTGTTGCACATTTATCAATGTCTTTTGGCTCCCTTAGGCTGGTGAAAAAAGCTTGCCTAAAGAACTTAAATCATTAGAGAAACACTGGAGTACACAAGCAAGGCAGGCAGTTTGTCTCCTAAAGGCGCTATTATCTTTGTGCCAACTCAAGTGTTCTAACAAAGTTAATTTGCCCAGTAAATTGGGTTCATATCCCTCTTCTAATGTCTAACTAGCAACACTTATCCTATTAGCTACTGTAACTCAATTTCATCTTGGTAATGTAAATAAATCACTTTTTTAAACTTGTAACCTGTGAACACATAGAATTTTTTATTCCTCTCAATGGAAAACTCAAGTCACAGTGAACATCCAGTTCTCTAAACCAGACTGCTAATAAAGATCTATTTTTTAAAAAAACACATTTTCTGTACTCTTTAGTCACTTATACCTAACAATATTTTTCTAACCTTTTTTTTTTTTTTTTTTTTTTTTTTTTTTTTTTTTGAATCCAGCTACTGGGATCGTTTTCATTTCAGTTTATTAAATGTCTCATTTTAGCAGTCTTCAAGTTTAAAATAGATCATGTGGGAGGGTAACTTGCAAAAGTTACTTACTTATCTGTTAATCTCTTAATTAAAATGGCTGCAGCTTTAAGTCTGTTCAAGGCATGTTTCTACAGCGATTCCAATTGCTAGAAGCAGTTTCCTATTCAACACTTAGCTTAGGCAAAGTACTTCAGGAATTATTTACCACCCTGACAGGGAGAAGAGTTCCTGTAGTAAATGACAAAAGTTTTAAAATGGGGGTAGGAGTGAACACTAGGTAACAACAAATGAAGATACGTTACAGAAGGCTGTCTCAGATAAATATGACAGGTTTTTTTGAGATTGACCAGTGGGGTGTTGACCAGCTAAAATTGCTCTGAACAGTTTTAAATGGCTTCACAAAGAGTAATAAATCCAACTTCCTTCACCTTCAGAGATTTTCTGTATTACTCTGACCTCTCTGATTTTCATGGCAAGTTCTATGTGATTAGAACAACTAAGTTAACTTCCTGGCATGGGGGACATGCTTTGCTTTAAAACAAAAAATATATAAAAATGGTCAGTCTTTGTTTTGATAAATGTTTTGGGGGCCTTGCTTTTGAAAAAACAAAACAAAACAAAACCAAACAAAACCCAACAACTCAAAAACCCCCCATGTAAACAAAAATCCCCAGGAAAAATGTGTATGAAAAAGCTGTGATCAATAGCCACGAACGCCGTGCACCTTTTGAACCAAAACGATTGTCTGCACACAAAAATTTTCATGGGAAAGTTTGTCATGACTGTGCTAATTACCTGGGGGGAAAAAATAGCTTACTGAGCTCTCAATATACTGGTATTTCTTGTATTAGAGGCTGATGAGGAAGTAAATTGTTAACTGCAAATTTCTTCAGCAATATTTTCTCTTTAGCACAGACCTAATTTTTCAGAGTCATCAGTAGAAGGAAGTCACGGGCAAGGCCACAGCACTACCAGAATGTCATCATGTTTCAAGGTCAAAAGGACGGAGTCAACCTCCAGTATGAGCCATCAGATGCAGCTTGGGGAGTTGCTTCCAACTTTGTCCACTCTTTATACGGATCCACTTCACAGGCATTGCTAAGGATGTCACCATTCCAGCGCACTGGATGCACTGGTGTCCATGGAAAAGGGAAAACATCAGGATAATGTGAATTCCATTTTGCAATCCTGCTTGCCCATCAGGGCCATGAAATCCACCACTTACAACAAAACCCAATTTGTCCCTTTGAGCTAAATTCCTTTCTGATGCTGTTTTCCTCAGTTTTTGCATCTGGAAAGGTGACAGACTGCAGGGCAGTGAATCCACTCCCTGTGGTGCCGTGTCCTTGCCTTTGCTCCCAGGGCCAGCCTGAGCTGCCCTGTGGTTTCTGTCAGCCCCAAAGCTTTCCTAACAGCTCATAATGACGGCATATGTTGCAAAAAGCAGGAGGCAGAAGAACTACAGAGCAAAAAAATCGAGTGGTTGAAGTTGGAGACACATTCCGGTGCAGTCACTGGCACAATTAGGCTCCCATGTATGGGTCAATTCCTGCTCAATATGCCTCAGAAGCCAAGCCATATAAGCCGAGACCACAAATATGGAGACATCAGGCTTACTAGACAACAGTTTTGGCAGGAACTGTGTAAAAATAAATCAGATTAAATACTAATGGGCCCTTCCTGGCTTGTCCAACAAGGACTGTACGAACAGCATTCCTCAGGCTGTGGGCTCAAAGCGTATCTCAAAATAATTGCTTCCTGGTCCACCTGGAGAGACTGCTCAACATCCAGGTCCGTCCACGTTCACCCTGCAGCTTGCAACTGGGTTTTTGCTGGGATCCTCCAGATGGGCAAGTTTCATCTTTCCCAAAGTGTTCCCAAGACTTTAAAATTCAGGAGCCTAAAGTTAAGCATTCAGATACGCAGCTCTGCATTTTTGTGACCTGCTTTTGCCATAAAATGCCAACCTGGAAAAGAGCAGGCACCGGCTCGGGCTTCCTGGTGTTGCAGGGAGGTGTTGTTATGGGGAATCTAAGTGACAGATGCTCCTGCACACAACTTGGCAGCCTATATTTGGATCCCCAGCTTGAAAAAGTCCTTAAGACCCAGCCATATGCTTGTCTCATAAGACGGTTGCCACATCTTTGCAGCTGACAGGACTGAAAATGATCTCAGTGATTTCATCTTCCCATAGGGAAAGTAGAGCTCAAAAGGACAGTGGAAGCAGAAGTGATAAAGGCAGATGGTCATCCCTTTTTAAAGATGCTATTATCATCAAAATATCTTATCTTGTACTTTCCATTGTTTTGTATAAAGAAAGTGACTCTAAATTGGCTTTTATCACAATAGGAACTGAGATAAAGCAGCCTGATATCAAAGTAGTTCTCTGAAAGAGAGCCTGCAGTGATAGCTAAATATAATAAAATAAAAATCACTGAATGTGAAGACTTCTAAAGCACACTATAAGAGGAAGAAGGCTATAGGAAAGCAAGAGACTATTTATCTATTTATAGTTTTAACGAGTGCTGCTGAACTAAAAATTAATTCAAACCGTAAAGAGTTTTCCAGCAAGCTAATATTTTCCACATGATGCTTTATTGGCTTCCCTTTTCTATATTTTCCTAGGCACAAGTTTTGTCTTCAAGCGATATTCCCTGTCATTAACATTCATGAAAGCTTGTAGAGAAGTGCAGTGTATGCCTGTTCCAGTTTTCCACAGATAAATGTAAATGAAGTGTTGTGCTGTCATTGCACACAGATTAGTATCTACATGAATAATATTATATTATGAAAAGCCTGGTTTATCATAGGTGAGTGTATAAAGGCTTGCTGTGTAGCTACGATTATAGGCAGTTTTCACATCACACACGTTCAGCTTCACGGAAGAATGTTTATTTTAATGGTCTCTGCACATCTTCAGCTGTATGTGACTTAAACATACAACTCTTTCTGCAGGTATCAGAACCAAAAGCCAAGCTGTCCCAGGCCTTTATCATGGTCCTGGTGTTTGGCTATTTATATGTCTAGCACACCGGAGAATGGCTCTCACCTGGCTCAGCCCTGTGAGCACATCTAAGAAAACATTTCCTTGTCCATCTTGTCTGACTGGACAAGCAGTTGTCCAGGTGAGGAGCATCAGTCATTGTGTGACTGAAACAACCTGCATGAATTTCCTTACAATTGTCAACCTAAAACCTCTTTACCAAAGGAAAAGACAAGTTAAGAGGTCCTGAAATATGTGAGCTTCGATTTTAAATAATCTAACACATACTAGCACCTCCATAATAACCAGGCTTCTTAACTTATATCTGCTTTTATCTAACTTCTAAAGCCTTTGAAGACTGAGGAACCAAGTAAGAGAAAATCATTTATAGTTAAAAGAAATATAAACCTTTTCAATAATACTAATTCCTTATTTTAAAATGCAAACTTTACATCTTACATCAAAGAAATCTGATTATTATCCAGCTTCCCCCTAATACACAGTATTATTCCTGTGAAAAAGTAAGACAGCTCTACTAGTGATCCCTTTTCTTGTTCTGAGTACCTGGTCATACTCAGTAAGGAAGGCTTTTGTTTTAAGATTATAGGTTTCACCATTTGAGGCTCTTTTAAAGCACCGCAGGACAGGCTCCAAAGAAAACAGACTATATCAAACATTCTTTTCCTCTTATTCATACTGAAACGTTGATGAGTTTTCAGATGCCTGGTGAAACACTGCA